CTTTGTCTGGAATGTGACGGTTGCTTGTGCAACTCGATCACGTATTCTGCATACTCTGTGGAATGCGTGTCTGCACGTGCGCGTATCGGTTCACGCACTGCGCTATGAACCTGGCAGTCCGGCGTTTGATTTCGATTTTCGCCATCAATGGCGAATGAACCCGGCCCTGGGCCTCCCGTAGGCTGACTCAGCCTTGAAATTAGTGCCCGGTAAGAATATGCAAACGCCAGGACTGGAGCGACACAGGCGGTCGTGACAGCCTTACTAGGTGATCGCTAACTACGCCTGTTTCAACAGTCTTGTGACAGGGACCTCCATCTTTTGTGTACACACAAAAGACAAATATCCTCCGTGTAGCCTTAACAGACTGGAGGAGGAAGTGCTGTTAGTGAGTAGCACCGATGAAGGCCGGCACGGCATACGAGGGGGTAGGTGGCCAGCACCACGCCCGACCGCCTTTGTCTCCCTAGTGGCGATGTCTACACACCGCACCAGGTACTCATTAGAGGCTCTGAATCGACCGAGGGGAGGCCCAGAACCAGTTAACATAGTCGCCACTTGTGTTGGCCGTGAGCGGGAATCGATTTAGGGTCGCCGGGTTCGAAGTGCAGCGCGTCAACCGCTACACTACTGCACACACTGGCACCCAGTAGGGTGGTAATGGCAATCCGTTGTTTGTAAGGACTCGCAAACATTGGTGTGTAATTTTGTGCCTAACAGCCCATTATGACCTACCTTAAAAAGTGCACACCTAAGGAACTGTAATTACGAGACCAATGCAAATCACGGACATAGTAACAAACCAGCTCAACGAAGTAGTGAAATAATTCAGGCATAACTCATTCCCCCGAGGAAGTAGTTATGCCTGATGCATCCATACACATATAAAGACCCACGTGTAGTCTGTAAAGGCTGTTGGGGCAAGTGCTGTTCATGAGCACTTAGAAAGGCCAGCACGGCGCACGAGGAGGTGGTGTGGCCAGGACCACGCCTGTCTGTCTTCATCTCCCCGTACTGATATTTACACAAAGCACCACGTACTCACTTATGGCTGATGTCAGCACAAAGACAATGATCCCCCGTATAGCCTTATCAGGCTGTTGGGACATGTGCAGTGAGCGAGCACTTATGAAGGTTGGCACGGCGCACGAGGGGGTGGTAACGGCCAGCACCACTCCCTCTGTCGCTCCAGTGGCGATGTTTACCCACCACATCAGGTATTCATTTGAGGTTAAGTCGACCTACGGGAGGCCCAGGGCCAGGTCAAATAATCGTCACTGGTGTTGGCCATGCGCGGGAATTGAACTCGGGTCCCCGGGTTCATAGCGCATTGCGCTAACCGCTACACTACCAAGCTGGGTAGGTTTGGTGTAGACCATTTCTACTGTAGGTGGATTACAGAAATTGTCAAACTCAATCCCGGACAGAATAATTAATTTAAAACTGACAACACCCTTGGTCTGGCTTTAGCAATGGTCATTCCGTTGGTGGATGACGAAGAATTAGAATCATGATGACGATGCTATGATGATGCGGTGATGCCGATGCGGCGATGATGGGGTGGCGATGACGATGTGATGACAATGATGGGAATGGCTGACCACACAACGTGTTTTCCCACACATGGCACACATCATGGAAAAGGTTACCACGAAGCACAGCTCTTCATGCACAAGTTAAAAAGTACAAGCCCACTGGCTTAGAGATGAAGGTATTTTGCAAGCCCACTGGCTATCAACAAAGATTCGTTCATAAAGCCATCCATAAATAGACACAGACACAATTTAAACCGAGAAGATGGGTACAAACTGAGCAATTATTGCAAGGACGTTATCAACCAGTCATAATTGGCTATGATGTTCCTATCCTACCACCTTCTGATGTTAGTTGTACTTTACTCCCATTTCAAACTTGTGCTTTCACAGTCACTTCGTGCGCCGACCCCTTGGTTGCGGCTCTGCTATCTGCCATAACATACTAATCTCCCATTAACATGCTATTGTCTCTTTAACATGCTAATCTTCCATTAACATGCTAATCTCCCATTAACATGATATTCTCCCATTAGCATGATATTCTCTCTTTAACATGCTAATCTCTCATTAACATGTTAATCTCGCTTTAGCATGCTAATCTCCCATCAACACGCTAAGCTCTCTTTAATATGCTAAACTTTCTTTAATATGCTAATCTCTCTTTAATATGCCAATCTACCATTAACATGCTGATCTCTCTTTAATACGCTAATCTCTCTTCAATATGCTAATTTTCACCTGGCAGCCCTTTCATTGGTGGAAAACCAACCACCATCGGTTTGGCTGCCCACCACTTACATTGCCATTGGCTGTTGACATTTGGGCTACGCCCATTTCCAACCCTTATAAACATTTTGCCTTGGAAGCTCACCTCCCTTTTCCTGAAGATGGCCACTTGTGTTGCGAACGAAACGTCTGAGTTTTTTGTTATTTTTTGTTATTTTCTCTGAACTTATCTACGTGACTTTACCGAAAGACCCAAGAATATTAAATGTTCTGTGAGAATTGCATGGTATGAAAAGTCATTACGAAGCCAAGACATGTTAATGAATAAGGAATGTTGGGATCTGTGCAGACCGCTACCATCACCGCTACCACCACTGCTACCACCACCAATGGCTCGGTGTTGGAGGGAGAGATCTCATTACAGCAGCTGAACCTGATTGCGCGAATGACAGCAGTTCGAGCGCGGCTCTCCAGAGGCACACAGCGACAGAAATGGCTTCTTTATTGGTTCTCATTCATCAGGACGCCGTCTACTTCGGGCACTGGGGGAGGACGAGGGGGGGCCCAAGCAGTGACACCGGGGAGTGGAAACGGAGAGCTTGGGGCGCCGTTTATCGCGTGCCCCATTTCGTGCGGCAATAAGGCACACGTTCATCAAGCGCTCGTCCATCAAACCGCCACAAAAGAAACCTCGCGCAGCGACAAATTAACTCGAGAACAATTTCATCAATGGTTTAAAACAGCTCGCAACTTTTTTGTTGGTTAATATTATTTCTTTCGCACTGGACGTGCGAGGCCCTGCGACAAGTTAAATAATTTAAAGCGGAGTAAAGACCACATTTTATTTGCGGCCAGCTACTCGCGCGCGAGCGGCGAGCCCTCGGCAGTCAAATGACAATGGCTGCCAAAACAAATACATCCGATAAGCCGTCTTGAAATAACTTGGGAACAATTCATCAATGGTTAAAATTTTCGCTCGCCCGGTGCGATTCGTGTGATGTGACAAGTGAGATTAAACAGTGTGTACATGGTGGGTTCATTACTGCTGGGGTGGGGGGGAGGCTCGCACCGGTTACAGTACTACACTCTGAATGCCACGATCTGCGTTCGATTGTCGGTCACGGCTAACATCAGTGGCGAGTGATATTTGAAATGGTCCTGACCCCCCTCTCCCCCACCACACCTGGCCTCTTCCTTTCACTCACCCCACAATGACCATGGTGGTGAAGTATGGTCAAACACCACCATGTGTGGCGTGGTGTAAAGAGGCCTTCGTCTGGCAGTGGATTGACTAACGACTGTAAATTATTATTATAAATGTAATTGCTACTAGTAGAGAAAAAAACCTTAAATTAATGGTGATTTATTCAAAATAAACAACTTATTGGTGGATAAACAAAAAACAACAATGTGTACTGCATGAAAGTAAACCTGTTAAAAATGTGCATTTTATTTGTTAAAATATATCTATAAACTTATTTGAAGTTCCCGATCATAAATCGTATAATCATGATATTTCACACTTTGGAGCGTTAAACCAGCACGATAATGAATAAAAATGCGTAAATATTTCCCACGTAACGCAGGCCTTGACTGTGGCCAGCCAAGGCCTGTTTAACACAAATTCAAGGTCAATGGAAGCTATCATAACGGTTTGTACATATTTCTATCTGAATAACTTTCACACATCAGTTCACACGACATTTGTTGAGGTAATGAAATCCGCGTTGTGAAATGATCTTGCGCGAGCTTGATTTGTCCGCAAGTAGTAATATTATTTCTCACTCTATGAGCACATGTTATTGTGCAGAGTAAAGTTAAATGTCAAAGTGTCAACGTCCTGAAATGAACATTGGGTACAGAAATCATTTTCCACAGTGACCCAGTCGGTCGAAATTGCCACATTCATATGGAAGGGTCAATCAATCTCTCCATCATACAACCATTTCTGACTCTCCACAAAGCGGTACTCATTTATCAACCAAGGAATGATGATGGGTTGATAATGCCCAACCATGATGTGATTTTATTTTTGTATTATTATTATTATTAAATGCAATAAGTAATAATGTTGCCAATATTTTACAATTATACATACTACATTATTGTATTTGAAATCTCGTCGGTTTGCTGCACTTATTTAAACCTATGTTTACACTTGCAAAATAAAGAACTCTGGTCTCAATCTACGCATCATCATCATCACCAGCCAATATCAATCCACTGCTGGAAGAAGACTTCCCCAAGCCTCCACCATCTTTCACAATCCTGTGATTTAAGGTTCCACCTAGCACCACCAAGCAAACTCCGGTCATCCTCGCAACAGCGGCTTTTGGCTCGCACATTGAACAAAAACAGTCGCAGCATCGCGTGCTTTCAGATGTGCTACTGCGGCCGTCTGGAACGCTCTTCCCTTTCAATATTAGGGAAGCCACTGGAGCTATGCACTTTTAAATCTAGATTGAAGACTCTTTTCTTTAGAGCTGCTTTTTGTGTTGAGTTTGCTTTCCTTCCCTCGCGCCTCCAATTAGCTGCGTACGGCGCGAAAGAAGTTCAACATACATACATAAATTACAATTGTTTATATATATAAATATACACATGTACGGACACAATCCCAGGTGATTATTCTCAAGGGGCGCCAACAAATACCTTATTTGGCCCAGGGATCCGTTAACGCCACGGGGCCCGCGCCCGGACCACAATCGCCGCGAACGGACGACCCGCGTTGTTACGCACCGGGGAGCTGCGTCCGGCGAGAGAAGCGCAGGTTGAGCGTCGGCCTCCAGGGCTTGGCCCAGGGCACCGTCCTCAGCGTGAGGTTGCAGGTGCGAGCGTCGAGCAAGGGCAGGAGGGGCGACACGTCCGTCAGCCAGTGGCCCACACGCCTGCGGCGAGCACAATCGAGGGGCCCCGTCAGGGGGCGCACGGCAGGCGTGCGCTGACCGCACGCCAGGTGCACGCACAAATAAATACAGCCCCACTGTCAATCCACTGCTGGATGCAGGCATCTCTGTGCCACGACAGCATGGGAAGGGTCGTTAGACCATTCCTCACCACGCCGTACAACAGTATTGCCCGATGAAGGGGTGGGTGGCCCAGGATCGGTTCGGATGTCGCTCGCCTCCGACGTTATCCGTGGCAGGGAATCGAATTCGCGGGGCTAGGTCCACAGCGCAGTGTGACCACTCCACCTGCCCGGTTCACGTCTTCACCTCATGGCTTACTGCCCCCGGAGACACCGATACGTCGACTCGCGGTGGCAGCCCACTCAAGGCCACCTTCACAGCGGCGTCCATTTCTGTCGATGGCCTGTCCACATCTGGGAGTGTAATTCCCAGACAAAGACAATCTTGTTTGACACTATCGAGCGAATATTTTTGTTTCACTTTCACGTCCTCGGGCCCTCGTTCCTCGTTCCACTGATGGTGCCATCCTACGTTCGGGAAATAAGGCAATCATCTGATTTCGATTGCAGTGCCACGGTGGCTCGTGGCATAGCATTGGTCGCATGGCCTCTGATGTGAGGAATAGAATGGGGGAGGGGGGCACCCCTGTCCAATCATCCCCCTCTTCATAGCCCAGCACCTGGCCCCCGCTGTGGCCAGATGTTGGCCCCCTGGTGCAGTTGCACCGCCTTCACACTCAACAGCTACCCCACTTGATTTGGATACAGCCTTTGACATCCCTTTTTTTGTATTCTTAAGTTTTCCCCAACCTGGTACAAACAAGGATATGGGAGGGGTGGGGGAGAAATAAGACATGGCATCAAGAAAGAGACAAGGTACTGCAGAGAGTCTGACGCATCTGTCTTGGGTTAGAAGCCTCAATCACACTCTGGGGGGAAAAAAAAGTAACCATTGCACCCTGGTGGATACTGGGCGGTATTGAAGTGGCAGCTGAATGGTGACAGGGATGGGCCTTGCCTAGCATGTCAGTGGGAAAGCTGTCAATGTGTCACACAAATACACACACAGAGAGTCTTATTAATTATGTATCGTGTTTCTGGATCAAAGCCCTGTCCGACGAGTCCACAGGGATGACCGGAATCACGTTGGGCAAATCCCGGGTTACTTATCCATGCGTGGAGACGAGGCCCAGGCAATAATTTTAAATCTTTTTTTTTTATGAGCAACGTGCACTCCGAGAGAGAGAGACCTGGTCCCACAGCCCAAAAACACAAATCACTTTTGCAAGTGTACAGTGAATTAATAATAACACTCACTGAACAATGCACAGGAACTCATTAACTTTTCTTGTGCAGTTGGATTCCAGCATGCGGTGACTGGTGTCCGCTTAAAGGAAAACAACACACAGGGCAAGCAGATCTTGTCTTGCAGCTACACACCAGAGTGTACAACACAGGTTTGCGGCTTCGTTCACGAAAAACTCTATAATTATAAAGTCACGGTCAAATGCACCGTCGAGGCACTCTGCTAACATCACTCCAGTACTTACGTCAATTCAACGTCAATTCGGTGCAATGATAGAGTGCTTGACCTGTGATTTAAAAGTCTTTAACCCATTAACAAGACTTCAGGCTCAGCCTGGGACAGAGCCTCGGGACGCATGTCCAAGATAAGCGGCCAATTTTTTTTTCAGGTTGCATCTCTTTCAACCGGTGACCTGGCACAGGATAAGAGGGTAAAGGCGCAGCCCCTGCAATTGCTTTGCTCACTCCACTGCTGCAGTGAGCAGACTAGGACTCCACTAGAGGGAGTTCCAGAGCTCTGGAGAGCCCCCTCTAGAGGGCATTTGGCCTACTCGTCCATCTTGTAAGAGGTGGGAGCACCCACGCTTGACCTGCCCGTCGACTTTAATGCCGTGAACCCATCTGCACCGCTGGGCGGAGAGAGGCAGTTCCAGGTGTGGACGAGATTTAAGAAACCGGCACCGTTGTTTCAACCGTCGGTTTCAACTGCGGGATCGAATCAAAAACCTCTGGAATCGCGAGTCCAGCGCAGCGCCCGTTACCGCCACCGCGCACCGCGCACCGCACGGGCGGGCTGGCTGGCTGGAGACGTACCTCCGGAACGGAGTGATCCACCTCCCCAGCTCCGTGGAGCACAGCTCCCCGGCGGGAGAGCAGCAGACGCTGAGGTGCACCGTGTGGTCCCAAGGGGCGCAGGCCTCGTCCCGGTCGCCCGGGCACGACAGCGCCAGCTCCAGCTCCAGCACGTTGTACGCAAGCAGGTCTGCAGCGCGATAGCGGCGCAACGTCACCGGCGCATCGATCTTGACCGCAACGTCATTCCGCTACCTCCGATTAACGCGGTTGGCTCCGTACGGTGCGAAAGAAGTTCAACATACGTGGATTTTTTTTTCTCCAGGTCCTCCAGCGTATCCCTCGTTTAAAATCGTCATGCGTTTAGATTGTTTGGATTATTTTGCAGCTATACATTTCCACATGATAAGCCGCTTTGTTGAGCTATCATTTGTGGCCAGGTCGATTCTGAAAAAATGAGTTAATAGCTCAGTGGGCTTTAGCAGCTTCGATTAAAAAAAAGTTGAGTTTTGTTTGTATTTTTTTATGTTTGTAGTTGTAAAGTTCTGACCCGCGGGACAGAGCTTTATAGCTCATCGGATTCCTCCAGTATAAATAAACATTCAGATTCTGATCACATTTATTTTCGCGACGTGTTGATTATCGCGGAAATAGATTCCCTCGACTGTAAAATGTACGTCACGTGTTTTACCGTGTTGTTTTTGTGCTTTACTGTACTTCCAGTAGAAGTAAATACATTTATCATCGTCATCATTACACTCGTTTACCTAGGAAAACCTGCGTCTGATGAATCCTTTTTAAAGGAGATCCCCACCAAAATATAAGGAATAGGGGGGAGATGGCCACTGTGTAAACTCCACTGCAGGAGTTACTGGAGACGTTTCGGACAATAGACCTTCTTCACAGGCTCTATCTTATTCTTAGCTCTTTCGGTAAAGTCACGTTGAAGGGAAACAATATAATATTAAAATATTATATTGTATATATTATATTGTTTCCCTTCAACGTGACTTTACCGAAAGAGCTAAGAATAAGATAGAGCCTGTGAAGAAGGTCTATTGTCCGAAAAGTCTATAATATTAAAATATATATAATATTTTAATATTATATTGTTTCCCTTCAACGTGACTTTACCGAAAGAGCTAAGAATATGAATTACTGCAGTCACGAAAGCTTTAAGTCAAAATTTAGGCTCTATCTTCCTTTGTCCAAAAACTCACCTATCATTATTATTTTTTTTTAATCCCTTTATAGTGCAATGTTACTGTCAAATGTTATTTTTTTAATGAGCCACTGTCAATACAGTATCACAAAAAAGTGCGATATGTTACGAGATAAATATTAGTTTAAAAGTTTTTCAAACTGAAGTTAATTCGACATAAGCCAATCCTAGTGCATTTCTAATCGTTAAAATCTCGAAACGCTCGTGACACAAACGCTGTCAGTTCGCAACCAAATAATTAAACCGTGAAAGTGATGGCATCATGGACAGCATTCGCCGTGCCGTCAAAACATTTCACATTTCACAATACCTTAATTACACGAGTTAAGGCTCTTTAAACGTTACATTGTTGAGATTGCAATTTCACACCGTAAATATTTCACTGCAACAAAACGAGCGACGGAAAGATCCGGCGGAAACCGAGTGAAGGTCCCTAGAACGACAGCGCAATTTTTGAAGCGGCCAACACCGAAACACCTTCACGGGACGCATGAAACGATTTGTAATGACGAGCTTCCGTCGATCGCTGCGATCGCCATCGTTAAAATTCAACGGCTGCGCTCTCCGCGTGCTGGCGGTGACATTTCTTTAATTGCTGCAACGCGATATTTTTCGCTATCGATTTTCAGCGTACGAAACGCAGATCGGGTCCCGAATATATTTATTTACTTTGCATCTACTTAACGTATTTAGTGGGCTGTAAAAAAAAAAATGATTCGCGGGTGAATTGACTCCCATTGAGAGCCCTAAAAGTACATTACGAGCGACGGTCAATGCATCGGAATGGATCGCCGTGCATGGATTGCAAACCCACGTTTGTGTAACAAGCAAAATCCATTAACGTGTGGGCCGCAGGGTGCACTTCAAACGCTGTCCTTCTCCACACGGGAGGTGGGCGTGCGCGAAAAGACAAAGCTTGCTCATTTATTTCACGGCGCTGAACTGACGCGCCGGTGTCGCACGTGCTTTCAGATGCGCTTCCGCGGCCGTCTGGCACGCTCTTCCCTTCCGATATTTGTGTGTTTAGTTTGTCCTTCCCCCGCACCTCCGATTAGCGCGGTTGACTACGCACGGCACGAAAGACGTTCAACACACACACACACACACATGCATGCGCAAGGCTATTCGTACGGCGAATTAAACAGTCATTTTGCATCATAATTTAGAGACAATTCACCTGTTGCGAACGCCGCAAGGTGAAAGTGGCACACGGCTAGTTGCAATCTGGGCCGTTGCAGAGTTAAAAAAATAAAAACGCGGGGACAGTTTGCACGCTCAAATGAATAACATATCGATCGTCACTCTGCTATGACAGCAACAAGGGACCATTTCAGCGGGGACTTGCGGGGTGGGTGAGGGGGGTTGTGTTTGCGTCGAGGTGCGTAGGGGATACAGGTTTGGACCTGCGTTGGCCAAGCGCGCGGTGAGCGGGCTCTACGAATTGCGCCAAGATTCCTCTCCCAGAGCAGCGCTTGTGACTGTGCAAGCGATCCACGATTGTGAAAGCAGATGTTTTGGTTGATGTTGTTGTTCAAAAAGCTGCCATCTCCCTTAACATGTACAGTAGGTTCACGGAACTTTCCACTCCTGTTCTGGGCTCATTTTACAACGCACTGTAGTTTGGATTTGTACGATGGCAATTCAAGACTCTGCTACATAGCACGTGGGCATATATGCCATATAGAGAAAAGGGAAGTTAGTCATAGACAGAGAAAAAGAGGAAGGTCTTAAACCTAGAGTTGAACAGGGGCAGGATGGAGGGCTGGATTGTGGGGGCAGCAGAGGAGAATGAGCGACTTGCCACGGAGCAAATGTAAACATGGAGCTCCGTGATAAATCCTCGGTTGCTGAAGCGGAGAGTGCATGGAGGGACGTAGAGTGAGATGTGAGGTTGGAGAGCACGTGGAGTGGAGCAGAGTGAGATGGGAGGAGAGCGGCAGGCAGGAGGGCTAGTTCACAAAGGATCTTGAAGAATTTGAGCTTGAGTTTCGAACACTTCCCTGCATTTGACCGAGAGCCAGTGGAGGGATCAGAGGAGTCAAGGAGTGGTTGTGGTCTCTTCTACAGGTGCGAGTGAGAATTCTGGCAGCAGCGTTTTCTGTAGGCCACAGAGGAGGCCATGGCGGAGAGTCACAGCAGTCAAGTTTAGATGTACCGAGTGTGCGGATGGGTGCAGGACGAGTTGAGGGCAGCTTGTATTTGTGTGGGCAACGTGAAAACAAAAACGCAACGCTGCTCTCTGCAACGGTGCCAACGAGCGTGGGCGAAGCCACCGCTGGGATGTGCGGGAACGTGGGGGCGCTTTCCAGAGTCGACTGAGCGGGTGTGGGGAAAAGCAGGAGAGCCAGCAATCAGGACAGCGAGTGAGCGGGAGAGCGGGCGAGCAGGAGAGCGGTAGAGCGGGAGAGCGGGCGAGCGAGAGAGTGGGAGAGCGGTCGAGCAGGAGAGCGGGAGAGTGGGAGAGCGGTAGAGCAGGAGAGCGGGAGAGTGGGAGAGCGGTAGAGCAGGAGAGCGGGAGAGTGGGAGAGCGGTCGAGCAGGAGAGCGGTAGAGCAGGAGAGCGGTAGAGCAGGAGAGCGGTAGAGCAGGAGAAAGGCAGAGCGAGAGAGTGGGAGAGTGGGAGAGTGGGAGAGCGGGAGAAAGGGAGAGCGAGAGAGTGGGAGAGTGGGAGAGTGGGAGAGCGGGAGAAAGGGAGAGCGGGAGAAAGGGAGAGCGAGAGAGTGGGAGAGTGGGAGAGTGGGAGAGCGGGAAAAAGGGAGAAAGGGAGAGCGAGAGAGTGGAAGAGCGGGAGAAAGGGAGAGCGGGAGAGCGACAGAGTGGGAGAGCGGGAGAAAGGGAGAGTGGGAGAGCAGGAGAGTGGGAGAAAGGGAGAGCGGGAGAGCAGGAGAGTGGGAGAAAGGGAGAGTGGGAGAGCAGGAGAGTGGGAGAAAGGGAGAGTGGGAGAGCAGGAGAGTGGGAGCCCACCGGGAGGCAGCAGCACTGTGGCGGCCGCCCCGTCTTCGCCCTGCATGACCGCGTTGTCCAGCACGCTGACCACGCTCGCTCTGTCGGCCAGTCGCATGTAAAGCCCACCCAGGTAGTTGAACCTGCACACGCAGCAGCACACCCAGAGCACTGAAGAGGGATTGCTGTGCAGCGCGGGTGAAGGGATTTCAGCAGTAGTTCCACGAGGTCCACTTCACTAACAACACAGCAAGGGGCAGCACTGGTGGGAAAGTGCTGCCCCCTGCTGTGTAGACCAGTGGTCACTTGGTGGAATTTAGAAGTAGGTCTGCGATATCTGTTTTCGTGAACTACTTTACACGGGTGGTAGGTGGGTGGTGGGGAGGAGCAGGGGGGGGGGGGCGATACCACCAAGAAAATATTATCGAAATATAATTATATTTTTGCTTATATTGTGAACGTAGCGGGCATCGTGGGAACCCATTACCAAAACACCGGGCGCGCGCGAAAATGTATTTCCCACGCGCATGACGATGCGCTGACACGTTCACCAAGGGCGGAGGAATCGACCGTCGCTACGGCCCCGACGCCTCACCACTGGGCTTGCCACGCCAGGAAGTTGAAACTCGGGTACAGGAACCAGCCGGTCTCAGCCAGCCGGCCTTGCGGGTCGATGGCAAAAAAGAAGGTGGGCGACGGAGTGTGCTGGAAGGTGACGTTCACCGTGACCCCGGCTCTGCCGTGGCGAGAAAGGGGTTAGCAGCGGTTTATTACTTTTAGCGACGCGAGGAGGAACTTTTTTTGTTATCAACAAGAGCAATGGGATCAAACAAAGGGAGACGGTGCCGCATGGGCAAATAAATTGAATCGTGGCCGGCTCCGGGGTAACCCACCTGTGCCATGGAACGTGTGAACAGGCCGTGCAAATAGGAAGTGGAAGTGCAAACTTTGCCAAGTGTGATTCTGAGCCCGGGTGAATACAGTGTGTTCTTGTGGGGAAACTAATCTCCAGCAGAGAAGCGAAAGTGTCCAAGCGTAGGTGCCTCGCGTAAAGCACTTGTGAGACAGGAAAATAAACTATTTTGCTCATGAGATCTTTACACAAATGTTGAAACCAGCAGCTGAGTCGGCACAACACTAAAGCTATCTTTGCTTTGTCGCGGTTCTATAGAATGCAGTGTAGCTTTCACAGATATATGCAGTCAAAGTTATACGATTCGCAGCTTCCGTGCATTATCATCGGCGTGTGTCTCTCGTTATTTCTCCTTGCTCTGAATCACCACCTACGAAATTAAAAGTAGCTGCAGCTTCCAGATGAAGTCGTAGACCATGCTATAACCACAATACAGTCACTATAATAATGTAACGTGAATAATTTACAGCCCTTGGTTAATCCTCGACTGGATGAGAGCTTCCATATGATGCGTCGGTCCTGAGCATTGCTTGACCATACTTCAACATGCTGGTTATTGCGGGTTGGTGAAGTGGGGAGGGCGAGGGGGTAGTGGTCAGGACCGGTTCAGGGTTCAAATGTCACTCGCCACCGATGTCCGCCGTGGTCGGGAAATGAACTCGTGTCGCTGCGTTCATAGCGCAGCAAGCGAAAAACTGCACCGCCACAACCCGACAGAAGCTGCCCTGGGTCATGGGCATACAAATGGCTTCATTGGACTCAGAATGATCAACGGCAAGAGGGAGTGGAGGGATGGATGGAGGCCATTGCTGTCCAGCTGGCACGGCTGCCGCAGAAACTTCTCTCGCCAGCCAACTTCCCTGGGGAACTTTGTGCATTTGGTCGTTTTCTTAATTTTTATTTTTTTATTTTGGATGCATTGTTATCGCAAGACAGCACTGTACGGCGTGCCGTCCAATCGGCAGAGTGTGCAGTTTAGCGCAGAAGGCAGACGCCTCATTCTCTGCATGGCTTGACGGGGGTGGGGTGGGTTGGAGAGTGACCTCTGCCAACATCGTCAGCGTGTGTTTTAATGTTTACAAACGACGGCGCCGTACCAGCAAAGAGGTGTGCTACTGCCGAGCGTGTCCTGCGCTTCGTGCAGTCGGGGCAGCTTCTTAACGTCTCACCACCACGGCGAGATGTCAACTACCTCGCCTGGTACACAGGAGGTCGTGGGTTCGATCTAGACCCTGACACCTGCTGTATATTTGGAGTTTGCATGTTCTCCCCGTGGTCGCGTGCATTTTTTTTTCACATTTTGAACAACGCATTAGAGTATTTGGCCGCGATAAATCTCACTCGTTGGGCTTTCATTTGTGATAGCAAGGTCGCATATGAAAAAGAGCTATATAGCTCAGTGGGTGTTACCTGGACAAAATAAAACATAGTTACTATCGTTAGTTTGACAGGCTGGCTCGGGGTAAGTGTACATTTACCAGTGGCACTGTGAAGATATGAGAGTAAACAATCACAGCCTCCAAAAGCGGGGGGGGGGGGGGTTGGCAGGAAGGTAATGGTGCAGCCTGGGAATTGCTTGCTCACACCACTGCTGGTGGGACGGCCTCGAGGCCCCCCTCCATCTTGGTGGAGGTAGGAGTATCCACATTTTTCCCAAGCTGACCCGAGTACTTACACCAACTGAACAGATGAGGGGGGATCAGTGGGTGGGGGGCGGGGAGGATTGAAAGAAATTTGACGCCATCATCTCAAATGCCATGCCAGGAGATCGAAACGAAAAGGCTACTTCCCGGATTACCGCGGCGATTTCCTATCCGGGACAAATTAAACAGCGCAACAAACTCATCGCAATTCTTTTAAATTGAACAACAAATCTCCCACTTCATCCCCATGTGATGCCAGGCTCTGGCTCGCTTCACCGGAGAGGGCCAGATGGTCCGGGCCGTGTTTCCGGCAGCCTCGTGGGTCCGCGCGCGTTCCCGCCGTGAAGAGCCACGCGCGCGCGCGAGCGCGGCCGCGACCTCATCCTTTGCGTTCGTGTATGCCGAGTGACCCCTATTTATTCATATTCCACTGTAACAGACTTCAACAGTTAAAGTGCAAGAGAAAAGAAAAAGAGAAAAAAAAAGATCTCCACGCTAGTTATCCGTCGTGTTCGTCCAAACACCAGATCCCCTAGGGTCTGACGATGGGCAACACTCTTGCATGTTTAATTTTAATCAACACGTCCCCCCGTCCCCCCCCCCCCCCCCCCCCCCCCCCCCCCGCAAGTAACTTGCCTTTTTCTTCTCAGCCAAATTTGAGAAACGACAAAGTGTTTAATTTCATTTTGACGAAGGCTAAACACGTTCATCACGCGGCAGCAAAACGAGTCTCGTGAGAGAACCGCAGGCACATTGGAGTAATACCACAATTTGTACACCGCTCACAATCCACGGTCGCGTCGAGTCAAGCGATACGGCGCTAACAAGCACGGGCGGCGTTCTGCGCCCCCCGCTTTGCTGTAAAGTGGAAAAATGTAAAATAACGTAACTATTTTTATTTCACCAGGTAAGGCCCACTGAGCTATATAGCTCTTTTTAACCTGGCCACAAATGACAGCTCAACGAAATGGCTTATCACGTGGAAATGCAGAGCAGCCAAATACTCTAAAGGCGTGATGTTGATTCTAAATGTGGAGGGGAAAAACTGGAGGACCCTGAATAAAATCCACACGACCACGGGGAGAACACGCAAACTCCTATTATACAGGCGTCTACGTCGAGATCGAACCCAAAACTTCCTGTATATCACGGGAGGTAGTTAACATCTCACCACCGCGGCACCCCTTGTATTGCGTGTGCAGGCACTTTGACTGCACCGGTGCCCACGGGCAATTGCACAGGATGGGGGGGGGGGCGGGGTGCATTTAATTCCTCGTACCAGGGCCCGTGCCAACCAGGCTACGCCACTGGACGTTGATGGGGCCTTGTGCTGCGCACCTCATCTGGGCCGTGACGTCGGGGTTGTCGTGCACCATGGTGGCGGGAATGTCGATGATCGTGTCGCACTCCCGCCCGACGCAGTTCATGTCCTGCAGGCTGGCCCCGGGCTCGGCGTGGACCAGCACGCCGGCTGCCCCTGACGCCATCATGTTATGCACCTGCGGGAGGAGGCCAAACATCACACGCGGTCGCATGTGGGGCGCCGCGATCAGCACGGTTGGCTACGCACGGTTCCAAACGAGTTCAACATACACGCGGAAAGCTCCACACATTCTCGTTCGCAGCTCTCTGTCTCTCTCTCGACCCTGCTCTAGATAACAACTCTGGTTGTCTTACTGCTGACACGGTGAGCTCTTGTGTCCTGCTGGTGTGTTTCTGTTTGCTTTCTTGAAAAATATAACTTACAAAAAATAGGTATATTTAACAAAAAAAACACTCAACAAGCATTTGACGATAACACTGCCCGAAAGAGGATAGGTTGTATAACAGCTAACGTTTTGGGAAGTGGCTCTACTTTATAGCCAAGAGATAGAGAGGCCAGAGCAACTAAGTGAATTTCTCGTTGAAGACTGCACTATAAACCATGGGGCACTGGTAGAAATGTTAATTTTATAATGGTACCACGCTATTAACTGTCGTATTTCAGTATACTAACAATTACCCATTGGTAGATAGAGGGTGGGTAACTAATATTCTTGCGTAGGCCCGGGAGGCGAGACTCAAGATGGTTCAGGCACGTGTTGAGAAGAGACAGAGAAGACGCAGCGAGAAGAGCCGTGGAGATGCCTCCAGTGCAGGGAGGGAGGAGCAGGGGGGGGACCGAGCGAGGGATGGGAGGATGCGGTGGGATGAGGTATGAGACGCGACTCGAGAAGAGACGCAGAGGAGAAGCTCATGGAGAGAGAAAATCCGAGCAACTGACTCCCTGCCCACCGTGGTGGCGAGATGTTAACTACCTTGCCTGGTATACAGGAGGTCATGAGTTTGATCCCGAACCTGACGTCTGCTGTATATTTTGAGTCTGCATGTCTCTGTCCCCGTGGTCGCGTGGATTTTTCTCCGTGTCCTCCGGTTTTCCCCTCCACATTTAAAAAAACACGTGCGTTTCGAGTGTTTGGCTGCTATACACTTCCACAAGATAAGCCACTTCTCATTGGACTATCATTTGTGGCCAGGTCGCTTCTGCAAAAAGAGCTATGTAGCTCAGTCAGTGGGCCTTACCTGGAAAAAAATATTAAATAGTTTAGTGCAGCAATGGAACTTCTGGCTGAGAGGAAGACAGTGTGTTCCGTGGGAATTTTGTCCCCTCATTCCATGTTCGAATGCCAACTACTGCATCGCCAGTTATACACCGCCATGCAGTGGTGGCTATGCTATGGTCACACCTGAGCTCTGTATCATATTTTCGCAGTGTCAGCTGTGCTCGCCTGCCTGCATTGCAGGGGGGGTTTCTTCTTTTTTTGTTCCAATGCAACGCGAATGTACGCAGCGTCTAAATGCCACCGCGTCTCGAAGCGCCTTACACACAAACCGTGGGCAAATTTACGTCGCAGCGAGAATCAGTGAGAAGAGTCCGCCAGTCAAAGGCAGAGGCGAAAGAGGAAGATCTGGAGGCTGGATTTTGAGTCAACAGCACTGGTGGCTGGGGGAAGGAAGCCCCCCCCCCCAATAAAATTCCGGACTATGGAACCAGCAGAGGAGAATGAACGACCCTCCCGTTCGGCGAAGGGTGACTGGGGGCTTCGACAAAATGCCTCGGTCGCCAGAGCCGAGAGTGTGCGCGGGGGGTGGGGAGTAGAGTGAGATGCGAGAGGTACGTAGGGTTAATTTCATGGAGGATCTTTAACATAGCGAGAACAGTTGTGAAGTTGATTCAGGATTGTATTGGAAGCAAGTTGAAACTGCTCATACTTTCTATTGATTATCAAATTCTTTAATACATGCTATTTTATTAGAGTTAATAATTTGAGAAACCATTCTGTCCTTGGACACAGCAGAGGATGGGACGAGACTGTCTGGAGGACAGTCTCGTCCCTTCACCTGATGAAGGCCGCTTGTGTTGTGGCCGAAACGTCGTGAGAATTTTATTGTGTTATTTTATTTTTATCAATTTATTATTTTATTCTCATTCTACGTGACTTTTGCTAAAGAACCAAAGAAGATGAATCCTTGCAGTCACGAAAGCTTTAAATCGAAATTTGTCTTCTTAATTTTTTACATAATAGAATATCCTGTTAATTCCGTATTGGAAAATTGAACGAAAATTGATGGTAAAATTCATGAACAGTTATAGCCAAAACATCTTCAATTTCCCCGCACCTCTGATTAGCACTGTTGGCTACGTACGGTGCAAAAGAAGTTCTGAATACATATGTAATGACAATAGAGCCTGCATGCGGTGTGAGGGGACTAGTGGCCACGGGAGGTAGTGACGGGGGTATCAGGCTGGTGGCTACGGGAATGTTTTAGAAGGGAGCGTGGTCAGGTGACGGAAGAGGACGGTGGAGCCTGGCGGTGGAGTGAGCGTCCAGAGTCAGCGAGGATGATCGAGGAGAGGGGCGTGGCCTCGTGTTGATATACAAGGGAGATGGAGACTCGGGGCTGTTGCAGTGGGATTTCCACCTGATATCAAGTGAACGTGTCTTCAATAAAGTGCCATCTCAAGAGAAGTGTGTCAAGTCGTCATTACACATACGCGCAGGTGGAGAGTTTGGAACCGTGCCGTAGACCGAATTGTTGTGAACAAAGCAGCGAGCGGGCAAGAGCAGGAACTTGCCCCAGGCACCAGAGCGTGGCGAGCTACGGCTTGGCATTGGAATACTTTGGGTGAAGTGTCCTCGTTCATGGGTGCGGGCGAGAAGTCGAGTAGCAGCCTGCTGGATCATCTGAAGTTTGGCGACGAGGGAGTTGAGGAGGTCGTGGCGGGGAGCAGTTATGCGATGAAGGCGTGGACGGGAGTCTCGATGGCAAAGGCTGGAGATTACCGCGATTCACAATTCCAAGGCGCGATTAACAAACGAAAAAACGCGGGGGCTCCGGCGATGAGTCATCGCAGAAAATGCGCGAAATTCTCAACGGAATCCTTGCGATGTACGCGCCGTGACCTTGGCAATAACCAAAACGCATTCGGCGTCCAACGCAGTCACCCCCCCCTCTTCCCCATAACTCACGCCACCAAACTAGAAGCCCCGAGCCTGCAGGCAGGTAATGTTCCACGTGGAAGGGGCGACCTGCAATTATTATCACAGCCATCAGCTCAATCACCAACCCTTTTCTTTTTCCAGTTTGTGTAAAAATATGACTAGAAATGCCACTTATCCAGCCTGTCAAGCCTCTCACAAGCCATCACATTTTCACCTCCTGCTATGCTACGGCAGGAGATGCAATGCCACGGTCATTACCGAAATCATTCCAAGGCCTCGCTCGTAGGTAGCATATTTCAGCACCATAAACGAGGTGTTAAGAGGTCAAAAGGTCAGAGCTGTGCCCTGCAGTCAACAGCTGCCATTACCTCATTTGATTAATTATTAGCTTTTGATGTTTCTTGGTAGGAGGGTTTTCATTTGCTTGGTAAGTGGCTGTATGCAGGATTTAGTCCTTTTATATAATAAATGTACAGCGTTATGGGATGCTATAAGCATGAATGACACTGTATAAAATTAAAGCGCTTTTATTATGACTACCCTCCCGGAAGCACACTCCTCACGCCCCCCCACACTCCTCATGCCCCCCACACTGCTCACATCCCCCACACTCCTCACCTGTCCCCGTGTAATCGATAGCCTGGTGAACTTTTTTAATGGAAATGTCTAACAAGCAACCTTTGACCTCTCCGCCCCCTCCCCCGCCACCCCCCCCCCCCCCCGCTCATACTGTATATAGAGCCCTCTGTCAATCCGCTGCTGGATAAGGATCCCCCCTCCTCCACTGGTCGATACGAGCTGAAGGAGGGCAGCGTAGGCGTGGGGGCGTAGAAGTACAGCCTAACGATGGGATTTCCCTGCGCTGCACACGACCGAGTTGCACTTCGCAGGATAAGAAAAGAAGGCACTTCGCTCGATTGAAGGAATGTATGAGAGCGAATTCTCCCGAATATAATCACACACTTCATCATCATCATAATCCAAGGGCAGATTGCCCGTAGGTTGTCCACTGCACATCTCGTAATTTGTTTTCCGCTTTCCTCCGTCTTGTGGCAATACGGTCAAGTAGTGGCCGCATCCTTCTGGCTTCGATCTCTCATGCTGTCGTCAAGCCCATTCTCCGTGAGGTCTTCCTCTCTTTCCGGTTCCTTCTATTTTTTCCGAACAACTCGCTGTTAATTTTCCTGTTGTTGTCCATCCTATCACGCGTGTGTGTCCAAACAGTGCCGGTTTCCTTCTCATCTCTGCCCGCATCATCAGGTCGTCTTCTTCTAAGTGCAACCTTTTTTTCTGTTTCTACGTTTGGTCGCTCCTCTGGCTCCAGTTTTAAAAAGAGCGAGAAAACAAGAAAACCACGTCCGTGCAATTCCCAACCACGTCGTCACGTCAGACTTCCCCGCTCGCTATTCGGCGTCAAGCGAGCCACCCCGCTCCACGTGGCCACCGATCGCGCCGGGGCCCCCCCGCGTCACTGCTGCCGCCACCGCTAATTCGCACGAGCGCGTGCGAGCGTCAATCGTTCATTGTAAATCAGCCAATGTAGAATCGCTGTGTCGCAATCTTTTCAGAGGCACCCTCACAGTAACGTCTCTCTCCCTTAAATAATGCCATCTGGGCCAGGTGGCCAAGCAGCAGCCGAGCGGCTCACAATTGGAAGGTTATGAGTTAAATTCCTGGTTGGGGGGGGGTGGGGGGCGGTTGACTCTTCCCATCATCTCTCTGGGGTCGACAAATTGAGTACTCACACTGCAGAGAAGTCAACAGTTGATCTCCTCTAGATAGGCCCTCGCCCTCTTCTATAGAAATGAGGAATCTCCACCACTGGCTTAGGGATGCAAACGGGAGATGAGCACCAGCCTCTGATGTTCATTGGCGCAGAAAATCGCCGCGACTTTCTTCGCGACATAATGAATGCCTCACGCACGTACGCCGTGGTAGAGCGAGCGGGGAGCGGCACCTCCCTCCGCTGTGGATTCTCCTTCCCTGGAGCGCACGCCTGAGTTCCAAGCCTTGGTGCCATTAGTGCCGACGAGTGCCAATTAGCGCAAGTGGGACCCGGAGAGATGCCCCCGGGGGGACCCGCCTAAGAGTTACGAATGTGGATTTGTAACCATGCCACGATGGAGTTTCCAATATCGATTTTTGGGAAATTCCCCCCCCAACCCACCCGCCCCCAGCGATTCAATAAATGTCGTTGGGTGTTAAGTTATGGGGATTTCTAAAGAATGGCACATTCAAAACAGGTGTTAAGATGTTAAAACACCAAACTGAAACCTTTGACAAGGAATCATGTCTGCATTAACCACAATACTTGTGGTCAGAATGCAAACAAAAAACACACTCTGATAATATATGCATTGTCTCAAAACGGTGTTAGACCAGAGGATGCCTTTTGGCATCCTCTGGTCTAACACCGTTTTGAGACTCTGGTGTGGACCAATCAGTTTCAAAGACAATGCATATAGTATCAGAGTATGTTTTAAGTTTGCATTCTGACCACAGGTATTGTGATTAATGTAGACATGATTCCTTGTAAAAGATTTCAGTTTGTTGCCAGAAAAAAGGATACAAACCTATTCTCATATTTCGGTACTGGCAAAGGAGGTCCCATGATGAAATGGCACAATCGTCCGCTACGCTTACGACCGGGTATGCAGTGGACACGCGGAACGAAATGAAGTACACAGAAAACCCGTATTATGGATGATGTTGGTCGCGAAAGCTTACTACGTGTTAAACTGAAGTACACAGCTCTGCAGGGCGGAGAGCTCGATTGAACGTTTGGTCAAGAATGATCGTGGAGTGCAGGTTTCCTCTGAACGAGCCCCAATCCTGTCGTAATGTGGGCCATCGGCGGCACGTTCAAGGGCACGTCCGGCGTAGCGCTGCATCTCGGTGGGTGGGCGATGATGAATTACAGTCAACGGTAATCAATACCTTCTACTCCCAAGCCTAATGTAAAACCTTTTCTTTTTTCCTCTTGTAATTGGAATTAAACCCTTTGGAGTGCCTTGCATAAGGAAATGATCAAGTTTTATTTGGAGCATTTAAAACTATCGAGCATGAGAGGCTGAATCCCGACTGTAGCGAACATCAGCCTGCGAGCGATATCTGAACTGGAGAGTTACTCTACAAATATAACCAATATGCTGTCCGGCACATATCGAAAGGACTTATTTTGAATACCACACTGCGGTGGCGCAGTGGACAGCACATTGCACGAATGTCTCCGGGTATCCGAGTTCAATTCCTTGGTCACGGCTAACACCAGTGGCGAGTGACATCTGAACTATCCAGTCAAGATTCGCCATCTTTAACAACCCTGAAGTATGGTCAAACAACCCCCCCCCCCCCAACCCCCATCATAACCAACCAACATGGCATTGGGGAATCCTCCATCAAACAGTGGATTGGTAAAGCTATTGACAAAAAAATCTTACTTCTGTGGCTCGCTGTGGCAACATTAGGGCCGCCGGTTCCATTTCAGGCTGCAGTGAGTGGACAAGGGTGGGATGCGTGCCTTCGCAGGCCTCATCGCCACGATCGATTTGAATTGTCCTCATTGTACCTCGTTTAAAGATCACACAACCTGCCGAATCTTCTCAACAACAACAACAACCGTCTCTCGTGCAAAGCCGAAGAGATCGGATCTAAACGAAAAGGGAACAATTGTTCTTGTGCTTGCCTTCACTTGCGAGGTAAAATGTAACAAGGCAAAGTTCATTTTACGCGGTTATTAATATTGAATTCTTGCGCCTGGCGGCAATATGTTCGTGAGCTAAATGCCAATGTCGAGGTCTGCTAGCCACGACGAGAGGGCTTCGGGAGAGAGTTCGTGTAGTGTTGCGATATCTCATCCTTTGATGGAGTACAGACCACATTGGTTTACTATACGGTCCATATTTACTAGTTTGTATATATTGTTTGGACCATTTCCGTTATGTACTCATGGCAGATACCTTGATTTATGTCACCCAATGTCATGTGACAATAGTTTTTTTGCAGGAAAAGTGCGTAATTGGCATCACTTCTGGCTTTCAGGGCAATCTGAAAGCAAAAACATATTCTGTGGATCAAATTTCAAATCCTCTAGGCCTGATTCTTTTTGGATCATTGCACAAATTAGGTGCGCATCCCTACGATGTGTGTATGTTTGTAGGTATATATATCGTGTATGTGAAATGTAGCAGATAATATAATGCAACTATATCACTGCCTTATTCACTGTTAGGACTAAAGGGATGGGTTCATACAGTCTGGTATATAACTATGAGGTACTTGTCAACCCGCACTTACCAGCAAGATGAAGTATGGTCGAACAACTGCCATTGCCGCCGACACTGCACTGGAAATCCTTCAAGCAGCAGCGGACTGACAAAGCGCCGTGTGGCGTGAAGTGAAGCGAATTCAGGCTGCAAAAATGCGTTTCGTGCAGGAAAAGAAAACCCGATCGATTTCCTTAGGGCTAAAACGAAAACTTGTTGTGGTCTTGCGGACGTGCACACATCCGCACGCAGGCGTCACGAGCCAACGCTTCCGATCATTGCTGTGGGCTTGCCGCGATGGAAGCACGGTGTCTTCTCACAAAACTACTTACCCCGAGCGCAGCACGTACTCTCGTATTGTACGTGTGTATGTACTACGTTGAGCTTCCTTCGCACCGTACGTAGCCAACCGCGCTAATCGGAGGTGCGGGGGAAGGACAACAAACTGAGGACAAAAAGTTGTTCTTAAGAAATGCGTTTTCAATATACATTTAAAAGTGCATAGCTCCAGTGGCTTCCTAATATCGGAAGGGAAGAGCGTATCCAGACGGCCGTAGAAGTGCATGCAGTGACCGTCTTTGTTGCGTTCGCGCAAACGAGCAGCGCGAGTCCTCACACACCCGGCTCTACAAGTGTGCACAAAGACAAATATTCCCCCCACCCCATATAGCCTTAACAGGCTTTTGGGGCAAGTGCTGTTTGCGAGCGCCTAGGTAGGCCGACAGCACACGAGGGGGTGGGTGGTCAACACCACGCCCGCACCAGGTACTTATTTGAGGCCGAGTCGACCTAGGGATGGCCCAGGACCGGTTCGGATAATCGTCACTGGTGTTGGTCGTGAGTAGGAACAGAACTCGTGTTGCCAGGTTCGTGTCACAGCGCGCTAACCGCTACCGCTCCTCCCACAACAAAAGGACAACAACAACACGCACAGCTCTGGCTGACACAACAATGGGACTGCCGATGGAATGAACCTTTGCTCCTTGCATAAGCCCAGCCTGTAAATTTTCACTCGGAAACTTGACTCACAAGCCACGGGGGCGTGATAAAAAATATATATACGCATTCACGCCGAGCGAAAACGTCGACATTGTTTTACGATGTCACGACACTAACTAAAATTTTTTAATTTTAAATGTCTGCACTTGAGCACATGCCATCAACCTGTCCTTGTCAAATATACATGCATTTTTATTTTTATTTTAAACACGATCAGTCGTGCTGTGGCTGAGCATGATGCCGTTATTTTTAAATCTGGCACCGAGGTGCGACTGCACGTGCGCTTGAGCGCGGCGACCAGAGTTTCATTTCTGACACGAGCGCCGGACCTAATCCACTTAATCCCATGACTTACGTCCCGGTGGAGAGGGGTTGGTTGTTTTCAGCAAGGAAGCCTGAGCCGCAAGCCTCAATCCCGACAGCTGTGTCACTTATCAGAACCCAATTTATGTGATACACCAAAACATAAATCAATAATTCCCAGCCCTTCAGCAAATCCATCGCCAGGATGAAGGCCTCCCCTGCTTGACCATACTTCACCACGCCGGTGAGCAGTGCGAGTTGGTGAATGGGTGTCACAAACATTATCTGTCATTCACAATAAAGGTTTTTTGGGTTAGATCGCGTTATTTATAAATGTGCCGTAACCCTCCACCACCCGACACGGCCAAACAGTAAAAAATTTGCCACGTTTACAAAAGACAAAAAGTTCAATACTTTAGCCCACCGGTGCGTTGAATAGTGAATTAACATCATTTGAAATCTAACCCAAAAAAAACTTTATTATGAATATTGGTCGCGAAAGCCTACGTGTTAAACATTATCTGTAATGTTATTAATCGGCCTCACGTAGGCAAGCTAAAACACGGAAGACAAGGCAAGCAGTGTGGCCTTCTCAGGCTGGAGACTGTCCATTCGTAATCCATGCCCGCAAGCTACACGTCACCAACCAGCCAGCACAGCTCTGCAGGCCTGAGGCCCCTGATTGACACTTCTACGCCACCACTTGCACTTCCATGCTACAACTCAGGAGGGCCCCCTGCAACTGGTTCTCACCGGGCATCAGCTGGGTTTGTCAGCACTGCTCTCAAAACCAACAAAACAAACTATTCACCTCAACCCCCCCGCCCCCCCCCCCCCCCAAATGTGCATAGATGAATAGATGAATTATCATGGTTCGGGCTGTCACTTTATTTAAGAATGTATTATTTTTGTCTCATTTGTACTACTATCAAGCGAGTATTCCCCGTATTGTGTGCACTGTCACATACGTTCTGTCTCGCTCGCTCAGTTAACCTAAACGTGGAAAAAAAATCAGTATTATTTGCATTTACATAAATGTCCACAAATCTTTTAATATATATTCATATATTATATATATTCATATATTAATAATAAACAATTCGTACCCGCAAACCCATCCTGGGGTACGTCCGACGCAGAGACTGAGCGACGAATTTGGGTCGTGCGCAGGTGCTGGAGTGGATCATTTCATCGGCTCAGGGAGGCCTCCGCCCAGCAGCGGATTAATCATGGCAGTAGCAGCTGCTGCTGCTGCTGCTGACGATGACGACGATGATGAGAGTGCGCGCATATCTCGAGCGTAACAATCGGTCTGCGGTCGACGAATCGACGCGTCGAAAAAACGTCTCCCGCGAACCTTCGTGAAGTAGGAGCACTTGCCGGCCACGGACACCCACGCCACGGAGCCCGCCAGCCCGTCGTCCCGCCCGTTCCGACGGCGGCTGCACCCGTCCCCGCCGTCCACCAGGCTCAGTGGCTGGTCCGCCCACGAGCCCGTAAGCCAGTCGTAGCGTGCGTCCAAACGCTTCACTACCAGTGGCAGCTTCCACCCTGGCGCACGGGACACACGGCACGCAGCAACATCCATCACAAATTCAGCTCAACCAAGCCATTCATTTCATTTGTAATTCCCCCTCCCCACCAATTACGGTATAATTTCCGATGACCAAATCACCTGAAATGGGTCGGATCTAGTGTTAAGTTTGTTGTACCCTCCCGCCTGTACCTCCGAATAGCATGGTTGGCTACGTATGGTGCGAAAGACGTTAAACATACGTACGTACATATGTCAAATCTGGGAGACTGACTGAGTTGCGTCTGGATAGAGCTTGGGATGGGAGACCACCATGCACTCCAAGTTGCTGTAGGCTGCTGCGGTGCTATGTTCTCAGCAGAGGGCAGTGCAGCCTAATCCAATGTTGTACTCTACTATGCCCCAATGTCCATGCACCGCTCCGCTTCCACCATCCCGTAATTACCAGCTTGGTGACAGTTTAGTGAATTTGCCCCGATGAGCCCACACGGCCAGGGGAGGCCATCATCCAGCAGTGGACTGACAAAAGTGCTGTACGTGTACATCGTCATTTTGTTATCAACAGCATGTCGTAACACATGGTGACATGACATGGAGATTAATTAGGTTGAAATTCTAAAAACAAATCAAGTAGATTTAATATTTAAAATAATTTAACGTGTGTTTTTTTTTGTGTACAGTTATGAGTGACTGCACTGAGACCGTCAACTCGCCGTACTTGACAAACCCGGTTTGTACGTACGTGTGCATGGATGTTGAACTTCTTTCACACCGTACATAGCCAACCGTGCTAATTGGAGGTGCTTTCCATCACAGGTGGCTGCCCAATCTCAAACTCAGGAGCCCAGTGGTGCCAGCTCGGTGCTTTGCCAGCTCGGTGCTTTGCCAGCACGGCACGCCGGAGCCACCTGGCCAACCCCCAATAAAAGCGCTCTCAACATGAATGCCAGCAGAAGCGTGATATTTGACTCACCAAATAGTGGGAAAGAAAATGTAATCTTCTCCCTTTCAGCTGGATTATTATTATTATCATTTTGACCATTTTTAACACCGTTACAAAAAACATCGCACATGTGTGATCATCTTGTGGATATGTCACGATGACACCCTGGCTGGAGGCAGTAGCGTAGTAGCCTGGTTGGCAAACGTCCTGGTGCAAGACATTAACTGCCCCCAACCCACCCACCCCACCCCAGTCCAATTTCTCTCCCCTCATCGTAAACCTGCGCTCGGGTTTCTCCAGCTCCGTGGGCCCGACGCGGTTGGAACCGCCCGCACGTTCGATAGCCGCGCCGCCGTTTCGGCGCGGTGGCGGGCACGGCGCCGAGCTTGGACGCGGGGGCACCTGTGCAGTGGAAGGCGACCTGCGCGAGGCCGCAGTTGTGGTCGTCGCACTGCCACTCGTAGAGCAGAGAGGGAATCCAGTTCCCCAGGCTGGACACCTGCACGGGGACGTAGTGGATGCGTTCCTGCAGGTCCCACCTCCTGCCAGGGCCCAGCAATGTCACCGACAACAGGGGGAGGTGTTACGTTTGTGATAATCTCATGCTAACTTTACTTAATTTAATTGCAGGCGCGGGCAGGCCACTCACGGTCAACTTCACACCGAGTCTCCGTCTATCGCTTCTCCACTTTTGTAAACGCGATTCCCAGTTCCGGACTTTTTTTGATGCTATGGAGCCATTTTTTCCCCCTCGGACATCCTCTAGCCCTCGTCATGCAGTAGAATGTTGGGAAATCGTTCTTCATCCATCATACATGCCACGGCAGTATGATCGTATCCTTTCATAATATCTGTGATGTCCCTTTTTAGCCATAGTTCCTTTTTACACTAATATTCCTTCTCCAATCTCATAATAGCCTCAGAAAACCCTGATGTGGCATTGTTTTAACATGCATCCCTCAGAGAGTTGTCAAACAAGCTTCAAGGAATTCGTTTGTAAAAGTGCAAAATCTGCAGGATGTATTCATTCATTAAAACTGTGGAAATATGGCCCTTCCATCCAATTTGCGTTAAGGGCTTGCAAATGTTTCTCGGTAAGACTCTTGGCCAATTTACAATCCGTAAAAAGTCGCCGGGGAAGGATCTGCCAATTACAGCAGCGCGTTGCGAGGACTCCAGCGGCCAATTACAGCAGTAAACATCGCGTCGTTCATTAGTTGTACGGATTAAAGTTGTTTTCTCCATGACTTTCATAAGGGCCCCATAACATGCAGTTGTCAGGTGGCAGCAATGAAGAAGACACTGCAGTGTATATCACAGTAATCCCACTCAATTCTCAAGGGGCCATAGCAACTCGTAAAATAACCTAGGAAAGCAGTGTGGGGCTTTTTGTTGTGATTTTGTCAAAGCTTTATCCGAATAAATTCAAACATTCCTCCGATTCCTTACACGAGTACCTCCAGGTTCAAGAGGCAGCCACGGCATTGATAATGTTGGGGGGTGGCAGAGGCTGGAGCAGCAGCGATAACTCTCAAGGTAGAGGTAATCTGTCAACACGGTGCCTAGCGTAGGGTGTGCTGGTGGAGCAACTGCACCAGGGCCCACAGGTCAGACGGGCCCAGGTGCTGGTCTGCAGAGAGAAGGGGAGGAACTGGGAATATGGGGCCCCATCTCATTCCTTGCACGAGGGCCTAATTCCAGCCTCGCTACACTACCATCCGGTCATTGTACGTAGTATGTCCACTGAGGAATGGGGCAACCTGCGTGTCCCCCAGAATGTTGTTTAACTACGGGTGTGATTTGTCCCAATTGCAGACAAATTATTAACAAGGCGTTCCCCCATGAGGCTTTTATGATCCACTGCTTAATAATAAACACGCGACCACGTGTATTTGAGTTTGTGTGCAATTGGAGGCACACGTGAATTCAAGCAAGTCTCTGCTTGCCGATAAGACATCGTGTGTTGCAACCGGGTCCAGAGTTTCCTTTAACGGAATCAATGCTGCTGAAATTATGCACTCCCGTGGGGCTGACACGTATCGACAGATATATTCAGGATGTACACATTGACTCAAAGCGTAGGGTTTAGTTGACGAAACAATGATCCATATTTGTGTCTGGCCAGGCCACGCGGTGGTTAAACGGTCGTCATATAAAAACCCTCCACCACCCGACAAGTCTTAATCCGCCGGCGAGGAGCTGCATTCATTCGGAATGCGCTCTCAACACAATGTCACGACTAAAAAATAAAACTCGTCTCTATAAACGTGACGATCTCGTCGTGCGGCGGAGGGTTGACTACCCTTCCCTCCCCATAGGGCTCACAGGCTACACAACAAAACTCAATGTCTGCTCACACCCCCCCCCCCCAAAGCATGAAGGAGTTGGGGGGGGTCAGTGGGGGTGGGGGGTCAGTGTGGGCGGAGGTCAGTGGAGGTCACCCGCACCCGCTGTGCGCTACGGCGGCGTCGACTCGCTCCCGGAGCCACGCCACGTCAGCCGCCGCGCTCTCGTCCAGCGACAGCACGAGCAGCACGACGTTGCGGGGCAGCGCCTCCACCAGGGTCCTCAGGGACTCCGCGCTCGCCCACAGGCACTCGAGGAAACCCGAGCTGTTGGTGAACGCGTGCACCAGCACGGACGAGTTGTCGGGCAGGCCGTCGGGGAACACGAACGAGCCGTTGAGGGTCTGCAACGCGAAGGGTTGCGCACTCGCTCCGGGTTCGAACTTGGAGTCGCGAGGCTTTGGGGAGCTCGCCCCAGCGCCCACTGCGTCGTGGTGGTGATGGTGGTGGTGATGGTGGCGGCTTCTCACGAAGGCGCTGATGCGGGAGTAGCGAGCCGGGTGGTGATGGTCATCGTCGTAGTCGTCGCCGTCGATCTGATGGTCTGCTGCGCTTGTGGACGGCGCCTGGGATAGCAGCAGCAGCAGAAGTAGCAGCGCGGCAGTCATCGTGACTGGAGGACGATCTTGAGAATAAGTTGTGGCACCGAGGAGGCAACCGACGTCTTGCCCCGAGACCTCTTCGCACGTCCGGGCAGGAGCCGGCTGACGGTGGTGTCACGGGGAGAGCCACGGCAGCGGAGGGAGCGAGCGAGAACGTCAACTCCGCTGTGTCTTGAAAACCGCGTCCGCGACGATCAACGTGTACACGGGCAGCACACGGAGACAAGACAGAGGCAGACCACACACACACACGCGCGCAATGCGTTGAGTGTTTGCTGAGTGTCAGCCTAAGAAGCCCCGTGACTAAGGGGGGGGGGGGTGTGGAGAAGTGGAAGTTGACGAGATGGTTTCACTTCCGTGTTGTGAGCACGTGTCCCGCTGCTGCGGGGCCAGCGTGTTTATTATATTACTAATAGCGGAACCGTCGTGTTATTATGCTAATAATAGCGAGGCCAGCGTGTTATACTAATAATAGTGGGGTCGGGAAGCCGCCACTAACAACAGCGCACCAGTTGCCCTGCCTGCGAGCGTCACGCGCTCGGTCTCGTGGTGAGAACGAGGGGGGGGGGAAGGAATAACATTATGTAACACAATTTGTGTTCCTGGGTACAAAGTGTTATTTTTTAATTGTTTATGCCTAAAACGTATAGAAAATGGCTATTATTCCCCACAAACTTTGCTTTCGTGACCAGGACTTTACATGAAGGAATGACACAAATGCACACGTTTTCTCATCGAAAATATGTAAATTAAAAAATACAGGGTGTTTTAAAGAGATGGATCCGATTGAAATCGCTATATCTCTGCAAGCACGAACCGCCCATGAATGAAACGCTTACCACTTGAAATGGCGGGGCATGGAGTTTCAAATGATGACCACCAGATGCCTCTCCCAGCGCACAAACAGCCCCTAGCCTCAGTCATTCACAAGACAACACTGCCTCAAAGTTGGATAGGTCGCACGGAACCCCAAGACTTGTGGCTACACTCTTGGCCCCAAAGATCCCCAGACATCACCACACCCTGCGACTTTGTCTTGTGGGGATACGTCAAAGACCCGTGTTTTTGTGCCACCATTAGCGACTAATCTGGATGACCTCAAAAACAAAATCACGGCAGCGGTAACTTCATTGGAAGAGAAGACTTCACTTTCAGAGGCGTTTGGGACGAATTCAACTATCGCCTCGATGTTGTCCGTACAGCAGGTGGAGGGCACATAGAGCATTTATAAAATGGTTAGTAAAACTCGATAACTCATTAAACCGTTTGTAACTTTTTGTGTAATTGTAACATGTTGCCATCGTGAAATATACTGCTTTGAAATTGGGTCAATTTTTTTCAAACACCCTGTATAACTGTCCTGGTCACAAAAGTAAAGTTTGTGGGGAATAATAGCAATTTTATGTACTTTTGAAGCATACGCAATTAGAAATAACACTACCCAGGAACATTTTTTTTGTTACAGGGTTATTCATTAAATGTTTCCACCCCCCACGCAAACCCAACCCCACCCCCTCGCGGACCCCTCAACAACAACACTCGGCATAAGTGGCGGCGATGTCACCGCGGTGCTTGTACCAGGCTAGGTTCACTTTCAGTCAGTCGACCCATGGGCACCTAGGTATGTCCTTTGACCTCCTGCCAGCGGGGCGTTCGACACTTCACGTGGCCTTAAAGTGCACATAGCCTCGGACCCCAACCCATCACAACAGGACACGACAGTGGTTGATGGCCTCCCAGTGCGGTTGATGGCCCCCTCCAATGTGCAACATCCTTGACGCAAACTGCAGAAATCCGTGCGGGTTCAGGCTCGACAGCCTCCAGTGGAGTCGTGCAACAACGCCACACACTCACATAGGACAAACTCGATTTACGGGTTGTATGATGATGGTGATGATGGATTATAACGGTGTCGTTGGCGCGACGGGATGCACAATATCACGCTTGGTCAACCAATTGATTTGTTCAGCTGTTCTCTAAGCGTACTTATTTACGGTCCTGCGATGTTTTGGATACGATAGTTTTTTTTTTGGAAATACTCTTTAGCATTAAGCTAGTGTGTGCTCAAACATTTTGAGACTTTTAACTGAAGTGCATTGAAGCACTTAACTCTTGATGACATTATAGTCGCTGACTAATGGCAACATTCGTGGGCTCTCAGCATTATTAGTGAGCGGTAGTTAACTGGATGCCGCTTGAGTCTGCCAATGTACAACTGTGTGTTAGTGGAGGCATTGCGTCAATAAACTGCTGGATGAGGGCCTCCCCACGCCGTGCGGGTGGTGGGAATTATTTTGACCATACTTCACCACTCCAGTCAGTGCGGATTGAAGGCAGTGAATAATAAACGTGGGAGCGTAGAAGCACAGTACAACAATGAATTATATTGCAATTCCCTCTGCTACCCACCACGTAGCCTCGCAGCTGCCGATAATACATATTATGCATGGTGATCGCCCATCCAGCCACTATCTGGGCTCAACTGAGATTACGAGATTCAGGTGATTTGGCCATCCATAGGCTGGGATGCAACTTATTGTAATTGAACGGCTTTGGGACTAAAAGCCTAAACCCCCAGCACGTGGCACCGGTTTTCCCCAAGTCTGATCTGGTCCCCGTCATCAACGCACTGGCTAGTCGCCCCCCCTGGCGTAGCTAGCGAGTGTGCAGGCGGTGCAACTGCACCGGTGTTTCCTCCATTTCATTTTCCTAATCCGTACCGTCCAGTTCGTATTCGTGCTCATGCCAGCCACGCGATGCCATCAAGGCCCCCTCTGTTGACAGAAACCAGAGTTGCGTTACAAAAAAGGGTGCGAGTTTCCCCTCCCCCCCCCCCGGTGCTGTCACGACTGCTACGAAGTGAAACTTTGTCGAGAGGAAATTCATTATGGGGGCCGTCCATAAATGACGTCACGCGATTTTGGACGATTTTTGACCCCTCCCCTCTCGTCACACGGCGTCACAAAAAGTTAAACCCCCCCTCATGTATGACGTCACAAAGCCCTGCCCCCCCCCCCCCCCGAAACCATATTTCCATTTTGAAAATAAAACATGCTTCAAATCGCTTTAAACTATTTCCATTGTAGTGCGTATGCAATGTGGCGCTGCACTCTGGTGTTGTAGGAGAAAAAAAATATTAAAAAGTATATTTAATCAAGGAGAACGTGTTGTCTATAGTTATTTAAAGTTGCGCATTTTGATGTGACGTCACATTTCTCAACACAAATGTCTGATCCCCCCCCAGGTGCGTGACGTCATTTATGGACGGCCCCTAGGTTGTGCTCTTGGAGTGTATTTTCGTGTACAAGTGCCCGTGGTGACGTTCGCGGCGCATCTGGTGCCCTAATAACAACAACAACAACAACACGTTCTTTTTAATTGTGCCCAAAATATTGAACCGAATCTCGGTGCATTTTTTGAATGACGGCAAATTACGACGTGAATAATGTGCATTGAAACATTACAAAAAAAACACTTATGTGAAATTCGAAACAAACATCTGCCGCATTGTCAATTCGCTTCTGCATGAAGGCCTCCCCCATGCCGTGTAGGTCGTGACGGTGGTTTCACCATTAGCTTGTCAATGCGGGTTGGTAAAGAGGAATCATCACCGGTTCGGATATCACTCGCCATCGATGCTAACCGTGGCCGGAAATCGAATTTATATGGTCGGGTTAATAGAGCAGTGCTCTCATAATTGTGCTCAAACAAAATCATTCTGCCATTGAATATGATTCATTCTGGAAATTCCAGTGTAAAAAAAAAACCCGGACTTCTTAAGATTTGTCTTGAAGACGGATTTCTTGATGTCACGAACGCATTGAGTCCAAAGAACACCACAGACTGCAGACCCTCATCTGAGCATGAGCCGTGCCCGTGAGCGGCAATCGAACGCAAGTGCTTTGCGGCTTCCGCGCGAGATCATGGTGAGAGACTCATCGATGCCAGCACGTGCCTGTCCCTTCTTTTGTCACGCGGTTCGCTTCTCCTGGCCAGTGCATGGCGTAGCGAAGTTGGCACGTGGCGAGATGTTGACTGCATCGCCTGGTATGCAGGAGGTCGTGGGTTCGATCCCGACCCTGATGCCTGCTGTATATTTGGAGTTTGCGTGTCTCTCTCACCTGTGGTCGCGTAAATTTTTCTCAGGGTTCTCCGGGTTTTTCCCCTCCACATTTAGAATCAACGTGCGTTTAGAATGTTTGGATGCTATAAATGTCCACATGATAAGCCACTTCATTGGGCTATCATTTGTGGACAGGTCGCTTCTAAAAAAATAGCTATCTAGCCCAATTTGCTTTACCTGGTAAAATAACATACAAAAAAAGTTAAGTCAAATTTCACCGCTCTTCGGCACCTGGTCTTCCCCCGTCCGCTGGCCCTCTGTTCAATTGCACCGCCTGCACACTCAATAGCTCCGCACCTGCGTCCGACACAGTCTCCCGTACGGAGGAGTGTAGCTGGGAGAGTGGTGGAGCCAGTGCTGACGTCTCTCTTGACGTGCGCAGGTTCCTCGCGTGTCAGTGCGGCGTGCGCGTCAGTTGCGCGTGTGTCTGCATGTGTGTGGGTGTGTGTGTGTGTGCGTCCGTTCATCACGCGCTGCGTTGCTTAAATTATTTATCGGGAGGATGAGCCCCGTCACTCGAGCCTCGGGCAATAAAAACGTGGGAGCGCACAGGGAGGGCGAACAGAGATCCGGGAGCGAAGAGAGACTGGAGCAGAACAGCTCGTGCGCAAAGTAGAAGCAGGCTGTCCGGGCACGAGCAGGCACCGCAGTAACGGGCATAGCAGCAGCAGCAGCAGAAGACAGCAGCAGCAGCAACAGCAGCAACAGCAGCACGGTCTTCAGCTGTTGCGGGAAATACAGCGACTCGGGTGAATTGCGCATTTCCACTGAATTAGAAACAACGGCACGCGTTGCTTGTCTTCGCTTAGAGACGCATTAACGCTCGAGACTTTTACGCAACAGGTGCAGCTTGGTGAACGCGCGTGTCCCCACGTACCAATGTACTCACGAAATGTAATCGCATCGACGCAGAGTGCAATTCATGCGTGCATCGTTCATTTTAATTGCGCCTGTAGTTACTAGCATACTCTGTGCTGCCGTGTTATCGATGTGCGAGTCTGCGTGTCTGCATATTGAACGCGCGCGTGTTTTTTTAATTCTAGAATTCGTCTATACCCCAGCCAGCCTGGCTGCTGTAAGCATTTGACAGTGTCCATGTTTCTATACTGCGTGTTAATGATTGTCTACAGGGGCCGTCGGAGATGTTTTCTTTCTTCTGAGCGCGCACACACGCACACGCACATACACGCGCACACACACACATACACGCGCACACACGCACATACACGCGCACACATGCACACACACACGCACACACACGCACACATACACACACACACGCGCGCGCACGCTGGCAACTCTTTCGCGTAATGGACAGCGCCGGGCTGGAACCCAAACCCCATAAAAGTGAATGCAAGTTGCGCATTTACATCCGACGCTCGGTTTAGAAGAGAGCAGTGTCACTGATTATGT